TCATTCATGGTTTTGAAAATGAAGAAGCTTTATAAGAAGTGTGTTTAAGTTAAATTTCCATACCACGATCAGCGTTCACACCCTCATTGGAGGGTGATTTATTTTGTATATAATAATTAAGTAGGTTTCAAGCTGATTGTTCTTCTGTTATATTTGAAGTGTTAATTAATTACAAAATAATATCCTGAATAAACTATTGGTAAAAGATGTCTCTAGTAAAGTTTAATCCATTTTTCTATTTATTAATATATTATCTGCACATTGAGTAGTCCTTCTATATGCCATGCATATATCTCAGATGGACTAGTTATACTACTTAAATTGGGACTCTGTTTAAATTAAGGAATCTCTTGAAAAAAAAATAGCATTACTCTTTTTTATTTTGAATAGACGTCACTGCTAAACTAGATGGGTCACTTATATTTTGACTAAAGCAGAGCTCTCCAAAAATGGCATGTCCACATCCAGAGCTTGTGTTATATAGTGGAATGCTATAAGAAAGTATTAGAGAATCATTTTTTCCTAATTTTTGCTTTTAATTTTTGTTTTTGGATGTTTAAAAAAGCACACTGGTTCAGTAGCACATGTATGGCATTTAATAGGTACATAAGTATATATAACGGGAGGCGCATGTGCTCAAAACATCTTGTTGGATGATTATCACATCAAAGAATGGTAGTTATAAGTGGATCCTGAATAAGCTTCTTTGCTTTTATTTAAATAACATTTTACTTTATGAAAACTATTTAAATGCAGATATGAAGATCAGAATGCAAACAAAAAAGAAATCATATTGCAAGGTGTGTCTTTGTGCAGAAAGGGGATGTGGGCACATATGTGCACTTGTTATGCATTTTAAGACTACCTGATGAAAGATTTTGATAAGAACTTACTGTCATTGTAACCAAAAAAGTCACAAAACAAAAACAGAAAAAGAGAAAAGGAATACAGCTTGCTCATTAAGCAGAGGGTTAAATAAATTTATTTCTTTGTTGTTGAACTCAAATTTCATATTATTTTGCAAGAACCTCAATTTTAACATATCTAATTTACTTCATGGTGAATTTTGCCACCTGCTGTTTTAGGTGGCAGGTGACTGCTTCTGCCTGAAGTGTTTGGTGGGCAGTGCTTGAAGAGCTGTGGGCATTGGCACCAGGATGTTGAGCTTCACCTTGTTCACAAATGCATTGTCATCACTTAATTGCTTCTCAAGTCGTGCTTCAGGGTGATACGGTGAAAAATTAACCAGGCTAGACCTGGTTAAAAAAATTAATTTTTTAATTTTTAAAAAAATTAAAAAAGGCTAGACCTGGCTCACCCTTTGATTGGAATGGTCTGCTACAAAGGTAATGGACATGGCACGTTATTAACGGGTGTCTCTCTGTTTGCAGTAGCATTCCATATTGAATGTGCACTTTTTTTTATTTGTCATAATTATAGACAGAACTTGACTAATATACAAACTAGAAGAAGAGGAGTAGTGAATGGAAAACCTGTAATTAAGTTCACACATTTATTGTTACCTACAATGCAGCATTTGAATGATTTCTCCCTGCTTTAAGTCTTTGTGGACTATTTAATAGGGAACTTTGGTTGCCTTTTACCTTCCATTACACTTTTTATTGTGGCCTGACTTACTTGTACTGCCTTGAAGGGACAGGTAGTTAGTGGCTACTTTAATTTAGGACGTGACAACCATCCATTTGGGACTCTAACAGGCGTAGAGGATTATTCTTTAGTTGTGACAGCTTGTCAGTTCCAAGTTTAATCATTGCAGGATGTAAATGCACTGCTGCCTGTTCATTCAAGGGTACCTTATATATATATTTAAAAGCTCCGTGTTAGGACAAAACTATTATTAAATGTGACTAAGTTCAAAATACATAATTCAATAAATTAGCATGGCCCAGATTGCTCAGTCATGGTAGGCCTCTGAAGATTTCTTGTGTAAGTGGAAGCATTTTTAGTGGCTCCTACAGGACCCTGTGTTTTTCTTCTTTCTCCCTCAACATGAACACGTAAACTAATGTTTAATGAAGTAAACTTGAAAAGTTCTCCTGAGTGTAACCTATAATTAGAAGCAAACTAAAAACATAATAAACAGAGATTTTCATGTGTGTGTATGACACATTAGTGAACTGGAAATCTGAGGGAACTATCAGGATAATCCATAGCAAATCAATACAGTTCTTTTGTGTCTTGAGATATTGAGCAAATAGAATGTCAGGACTGAGCTGAGGCCCTGGGGAGCAGTTGAGGTTCTGACCCTGGCCAGGAGGGGGCAGCAGAGCACCAGTGCCTGCTTGAGCTGGCAGCAGTGGAGAGTGGTGATCTTCAGGACGCCCCAGCTCAAGGGGAGAGGTGGGCAAGGCCTTTAGCTACTCAGAATGGTTTCAAGGCTGGGGCAGCAAGTACACCATTCCGTAGAGTTGAGTCGGTGTGGGTGAAGGAAGACTGATTAGTAAGGCAGGGGCTAAGATAAGAACTGAGCGAGGTGGTAGGATAAAATTGCTACTTGATAACTGTATCCCTTTGGGCATAACACTGAGCTTCACTGAGCCTCATTTATAAAATGAAGATCATTGTAGCATGTCCTCCCCAAGGTTGCCATGACCATGAGATGAGATCACTTATGTTTGTAAAAACACTTAGCTCCATAGCTGGCACAGATGCTTAATATGCCCCATAGAGGGTACAAAGTGGGGGGAAGGGGGCGGTAATGATTTCAAATTGGTTATTGATAAGGGGAATACTAGGTCCAGTTGACATGGCCCTTTTAGCAGTCTGACCCCAACTTGGCTGCCAGGCCCACTCCCCACCATTTCTAATTACTAGCATGTAGTGTTCACTAGGAGCTTGGTGTAGTGGTTTTACTGCTGCATGTGTATTGAAAATAATTTCAATACTTTAACAAGGTGACCATCACCAGCACCATTTTTCAGAGGAGAAACTTGAGGGTCAGAGTGGCCAAGCAGCTTGTCCAAGCTCAAACTGCAGGGGAGGGGAGCGGAGCTGGGATTCATGTCCTAGTTTGTCAGACTCCAGCGCTTGTTCTCTTTCCACTCTACCTGCTTTGGCCTCAAGGACCCCTCACGGATCCTCATACTCTATGGTGTTGTGCATGAAACTCTCTTGGTCTGAAATGTCTTTGTCCTAAATCCCACAGTCATTTTATACCCACCTCCCTGCTCTCATACCATTTCATGTTTATTGTCTTACAGGTAAATGCTTTGTGGTTTTTACCACCAGGGCATCTGCTCCTCAGGCAGAGGAACCTCATGTCTCAACCATCTTTAGTCCCTACTGCTGAGTCTATTCTTCAGCCTACTGCCTGCCCCCCAAAAGTGCTAATAAATGTTTGTGTATTAGCAAGTGAATGAATAAATGTTAGGTGAACAGCTGCGGGACAATGAAGAGGACTTAAATCTCTTTCTTCAGGGTGTTTTCCCTCCACAGCCCTGTGCTAAACCAGCTCACTGTGAAATTATTTATTCAATGCCTGTGGTCCTCTCTTTGGAATCAAAGCTGTTAGGGGCCAAGCCTCTGTCCCCTTGTTCAGTGCTCTGTTTTCAGCACCTAGAGCAATGCCTGCTATGCAGTGAGCACTCTGTAAACATTTGTTGCGTGAGTCGGTTGTACCAGCAGGGCTGCTGCAATTGAAAGTCCTTTGGAGCCCATGGGGCTCTTGCATCAGTCTACTCTCTTTTAAAGAGCTCCCATCTCTGAATGATTGGGAATAGTATGATCTTCTGTGATTAAATCACTTACTTTAAAAAAAAAAAAATATATATATATATATCTTTATTGATTTCAGAGAGAGAAAAGGAGAGGGAGAGAGAGGGAGAAACATCAATGATGAGAGAGTCATTGATCGGCTGCCTCCTGCACGCCCCTGACTGGGAATCGAACCCCGATCGCCTGGATCCTGGGTCGATGCTCAACCGCTGAGCCATGCCCGGCCGGGCTAAATCACTTACCTTTAAGGTCCCTTCTAGCCACAAGCATCTGTGCACCTGTGTTTTCCTCCATTTGAATTTTCTGGATGATCACCTTAGTTTTTTACTATGTGTTCAGGTGACAGAGCAGCTTTTAGAGTAAGTGGGACTCTAAGCTCCAAAGGCTTCGCAAAGTTATGGAAAGACCCTTAAAATAATTTTTATTGTTTTTAAAAAAATAAATTTTATTCTTATTTTTAAATGCCTTACCTCTTTTTAGAAACATGTACTCATTGTCATATTTGCTCAATTTTTACTTCCTTTTGTGTACCATACAAATGCTGGCATATCTAGGACAGGATTTAGCAAGAAGGGATGTTTCCTAGTTTTCCCCAGTCTTCTAGTTTTGTTTTTGAAAATGATCATTCTTTTTTAAAAGCTGGACTTGTGACCTGTTTGTGACTATGCAGTTGATTAGCAGTATCTTGTAACATAGTCCTGTAAGACATTCCTTGTTCACCACAGGAGGGGAGAACTCAGGAGACGATCATGAAGGAGATGAGAACATAGATGGTCTGCTCTGTATTATCTTTATTCAGGGATGCTATTTAAAAACCATCCATTGAGATGTCTAATTCTTTGATCAAAATAAATAAATAAAATAAATAAATCACTTCTTAACATCCAAGAAGAGTCATTAACTTTATGTTTTTACTTTTTATGCACTGTCAAAATAATTATTCTGGAATATTTGTATGTCCCTGTTTCTCTTTTGACAACAAATTTCAGGGAAGTATGGTGAAAGAAAAACTGTGTGTAGGAAGAAGAGGGACAGAGACAGACTGAAGGGCAGAAGGAAGGCCATTCTGCACCCAGGTCTGCTTGTTTTCTGAGGCCTATTGTACCTCAACCCACAAGTGTCTCTCTGTCCCTGCCTGAGCTCCCCCTGTTCTTCTTGTCCCACCAGAACCAAGATCTTTCCCACTTTCCTTATATCTCCCCTTGTTATGGCCTAAATGTTTGTCCCCCCAAAATCTTATTTTGAAGTCCTACCCCTGCCCCTAGTGTGATGGTATTTCAAGATGGGCCTTTGGGGGCGAATTAGGGCTGGATGAGGTCATGAAAGAGGGGCCTTGTGACCGAATCCATGACCTTACAAGAAGAAACAACAAAAGGTTTGTTCTCTCTCTCTGTCTCGTGAGAAAGCAGCAGTGGGGTAGATGTCTGCAAGCCAGGAAGAGAGCTCTCACCAGAACCCAACCACGCTGACCCCTGATGGTGAGCTTCCATTTTCCAGAACTGTGAGAAAATAAATTTTCATTGTTTAAGCCACCCAGTCTATGATATTTTGCGATGGCAGCCCGAGCTAAGACATCCATTTCCTCTTCTTTTCCACTTTGCTATCTGCCTGATTTCAGTCATAACTTTGGAATCTGCCTGCTGTGTTTCAGAAGCTAACCTGAGTTAATCTATGCTAACGTGGCCAGCAGAGTTTAAAGACAGTGATGTGCTTCTCATTTCCCAGATGTCCACCATGGTTCTACCACCTGATGTTGGGGAAGGTAGTCCAGAGACCCACTTCATGGGGAGCACTGCCCCTACATTTGCTTCATCCAAGATGGCTGGAGCTGACTCTAATGAATTAACTACAAGAAGGCTTCCTAGCACTGTGCCGCCCTGCTGCACCCTCGGCTGGGACAGCTGTGTGGTCACAGTCCCCTCCCGCTCCTATGCCTTCTAGGCTCTAGCACCTCAGTATCCACTGTGCATCCGTACCTGTTGGCTCCCCAAGTGGCAGTGCCTGCCAGTTCCAGGCACATTATTTCCTCAGCAGCTGGCACAAGATTTTTTGTTGCCAACTGGACGCTGATATATTAAAAAATAAAACTTGGCCCATCTTGAGTATCATGTTTCCATCAGGATTCGGATCTGCATTCTGGCACAACTCACACTATCACTTGGGCACCTCTCTCAGGACTGAGAACCCATATTCTTCTGGGTTGCTGGCCATATTTTCACTTGCTTTTTCCAAATGCAGTTTCCAGCCTCAAAAAACCTAGGGTGCTTATGATCAGTTGAGGGCGAGTCTACCAAGACTCTACTTGGTCTTACTGAATTTATTAACCTGTTCAGTGTTTCTTTAGTCAGTTTCATATCTCAAATGGCAGATTCTCAAGAATAAGGCTCATGTTTCTCAGGTTAATGAGTAGCTAACACACTGCACTGAGACATATCCTTGCTGCATGACTCCACATGAGCATGAGGTGACTCAAGAAAAGAGATCTTAATATTTGTAAATATTTGACTACTGTTCTTCATATTTTGCATTCTAAAAAGAGTGTGTGATATAACCTTAGGTTTTCCATATCTGCAGACAAAAGAACAGTTGGGGTAGTTAAAATAACTGCTGTAGGTAGGTCTTTCTGTACAATTTTTACAGTTTGCTTTGCTTATAAAGAAGGGTGTTAAAATGAGAAAATATTAATCATTTTGTAGCTTTGAGATTTTGTTTGTGTTAAAGTTTATGTTTTGTCCTAGATTTATTAGTTTTTTACTCAGGATAATGCATTCTTCACTGGAAAATTAAATAATCACATAAAGCAGGGATTCCTAACTTCGATCTGTATACTTTTGTGCCTGTGTTTTAGAAATACAGGAAGCTCCTGAAACTGAACGCTAAATTTTATGTGTGTAAGAATTTTCTTTAGGAAAGTGATTATAGTTTCATCAGATTTTCAAAGATGTTTAAAGAGCCCTGATGTTTGAGGTTCTTCCACACACTCATTTTCTTACATATGCTCAGGACTGTTGAATAGCACGAAACTTGGACTGACCTAATCATTTAGCAAACGTCTTTTTTCCCTTCTGCTGCTGCCTTACCCAGTCCACCTGTTCACAAGCAGGGCTTTCTGTATTCTTATGTTCCTAGTTTTTACCTTTTCTGTGTTCCATTTTATCAGTTAGGATGCTATTACGTGCAAGTGCAGTTCCACAAATATATATTGCATCGGAAGAAACTCAACTCAGATGGCCTTAAACAATGGAATGGATCTATTGGCTCAAGTAACTGAAGTGCAGAGGTTGTTCAGGTTTTACATGTGGTTTGACTTGGACTACCCATGTATTTCTCTGCATTTCTTTCAGTTTGCCCTCAAAGCCCTTTGGCTTTGTCCTCATGCCAACTTCCTTCATGGTTGCAAGTATGCAGCAGTTTGAGTCCTGATGTTGGCAACCAACCGTCATCATCCAGGAGGGATCTTCACTTTCCTTTTATCATTTCATAAAGCAGAGCCAATCAGTGTGGTCAGAGGCATGTCTGTGCACTAACTTACTTAGACCAGGATTTCCATATTACCACTATACCTGAACGAGTAATGGAGACAAAGAGAGAGTGCAATGTTTTGTTTATGCCAGCCAGGGTCTGCTTTTTAGGACTTAGGAATTCCAACCTGTGTGTGGGTGTGGGTTGAGTGCTGGTAGGAATGATGTTGAACAGCAACTAATATTTATTATATCCCTAAATTAAGTGGGGTTCTGGCCTATAGCTCCTGGTATCTGATTATAGTTATGCTGCAGAAGATCAGATTTTTACTGCTGTAGAAGATAGGAATTTATTATGTTCCCTAAAGAAAGTTATATGAAATGTTAGTTTCTTGGGATGTTTTGTCAGTCAGTTCTACCAGAGAAACAGAACCAGTAAATACACACACACACATTTATTTATATCTATCAATCAATAAAACCTATTTATTTATTCCAAAGAATTGACTTATATGGTTTGGAGGCTGGTCAGCCTGAAATCCGTGGGGCAGGAAAGCAGCCTGAAAACTTTTGGACAGGAGCTGATTCTTTAGCCTTGAGGCTGAATTTCTTCTTCCTCAGGGAAACCTGTTTTGCTTTTAAGCCTTTCAACTGACTGGATGAAACCCACCCACATTACTGAGGATTAATTTCCTATACTTAATACTATACAATTGTAGATGTTAACGAGATCTGCAAAATACATTCATAACAAATCAAGACTAGTGTTTAATTGAATAATGGGCTACTATAGTCTAGCTAAGTGGACACATACAACCCACCATCATGGAGATTAAGTGTAAGACCAAAGAAGGGTTCTGTTGTTAAATAAAGTCGAGAAATGTTACATTAAACTTGGCTCTAAGACATTCCATTCTTTAATGTAATGTGCTCCAGTAGATTGTGGTTTTTAACCATTTCTCAAGCTTATTTGATCAAGAACGTTTTCCTGTTTCCCTTTGGGATCATACTTTGTGTCTTCACAAAGTGGAAATTCAATAATATTGACTGAGAAATATTCATAGATAAATGAATAGTTATTAAGTCTTGGGTTAATGATCTTTATATCCTCTCAGAGCCATCACTTACCCTTGGCAGACATTAAGTTTTAATAGCTTTAAAATGTTTGCTGCCCTTTGGAGATTTTATCACTGTGGGAAGCCAGTAAGATGGAGCAGGTTCCATGTCCTCTACATTATAAACCCCATCTTATCACTTTTGCTCTTTAATGTGACAAGCTATAACTTTGTTCCACTTAAGAGATTATTTAAGTCCATAGAAAATGAATAGAACAAAAGAATTGGACAGATTAAGGTCCTGAAAATGAGTTCGTCTTAGTTTTGTTTTACCATCCTTTTACAACATCGAGCACATTGCTATACTCTCAGTGGTGCTTGGTGTATGCTGTGCCTGGCTCTTAGGAGAGAAAATATTTTCTCATAACTCTGCTAAATCCCTTTTTATTGTGATGACATATTATTAGATCAAACAAAGATGAGATTTGCTCTCCTATAATTTATCAGTCATGTTGTGTGGCCTAGAGTCTAGATGTGGCTTAAAGTCCTGGCAGACAACTTTGTGTGGTAATCAAATCATGTTGTGGGTAGACCCATCTTCTTGGAAGAGAGATGAGCATGAAAGGCAGGTTTGATTGTCACCTGAATGTCCTGAGCATATGAACTGTGTCTTGGATCCCTGCCAAATCCTCTGAGCTGCTTCCTCTACAGGGGCCACCCTGATCTGTCTGCATGGATGTTGTGAACAAGTAAAAATAGTTTTGGAAAACAAATCAAAGTTTAAATGTGATTTAATTACAAAGGTACTAGTTGAATCTGAAGAGATCGTTGTTTTAAAATAGTTAGCTTGATTGAATTCAACCTCAGAGTTTAAAAGCCATTTGTGTGTGTAGGCATGGAAAGTGGGCATGTTAGTTTCTTGTTCCTTTCTTCATTGTACAAAAGAAAAAGAGGCTTTAAAGCTGCCCGTGGTCAAGGAATTGCTATAAAACTTAAAGGAAGTTGTAAAACTTAAAAGGTTTCTTCCTCCCAAGGACAGTGATGAACCTGAAATCACCTGCTGTGCTTGAGACAATAGCCTGAAAACTGAAAAGGTAGAAATTTTGAAAATGATAGATAAACAAAAGGAAGACAGTAAAAATTACATTTTATCCCATCATCCAGAAATGACCACTTCACATGCTCAGTTCTTTTTTGTATTCGTAAATATATATATGTAATTGTTTCTACCTATTTATCTCCCCAAACAATTATTTTATTAAGGTTAATGTTTTAGCCTGACCAGGCGTGGCCCTCAGCGGTTGAGCATTGACCTAGAATCCAGGAGATTGAGGTTGGATTTCTGGTCAGGGCACATGCTCGGGTTACGGGTTCAATCCCCAGTTGGGGGTGTGCAGGAGGCGGCCAGTCATTGACTCTCTCATCATTGATGTTTCTATCTCTCTCCCTCCCTCTCCCTTCCTCTCTCTGAAATCAATAAAGATATGTTTGTTTGTTTTTTTAAAAAAAGGTTGTTTTATAAATCTAAAAATATATTCATTGTTGATTGATTTTAATGTGCTTTATATGATTCATATAAAATCATATGTAATGTGTTCTTTTCATTGAGTATAGAAAGTCATGTAATGTAATGGCAGCTAACCTTTAACAGGTGTATACTGTGAGGTTGGCATATTATCTTTGTTGTCTTCAACTCTCATAGTAATCTGCTAGGCAGACATTATTAACCTGAGGAAGCAGAGGCCTGGGGTCAGCAATAACCTGTCTGTGTCACACAGGTAGTAAGAGACATGACCCAGGTCTGCCTGGTTATCTGTCTAACTCCAAAAACTATACTCTTAAAATTATTACATTGCTCC